TGTGGTGGATATTTGTGCGACCTGTATAATAGGCATCACCGGTACTGTCATCTGCATAGCTATGCAGGCTAATGCTACTAGTTGATAACATATCGTTGATATGCAGGATGAACAGGGTTGGTGATAGCACAGATCCTTGCGGAACGCCGGCTTTGATGAGCATGGTGTCCGAGCACAATCCGTCGATAGCGACTTTTATGCTCCGCTCAGACAAGAAGCTGGCGATCCAAGTGCACAGCCCTTTTGGAAGCCCGTAAGATGGTAGCTTCGACAGAAATGCCTTGTGCCAGACCCGATCAAAAGCCTTAGCGATGTCTAAGCTCACGGCCATTGCTTCCCTCTTGCTCTCGATGGCAGCTGCCCATTGGTACGTGAGATACACAAAAAGATCACTGTATATGTAGAGGCTTTGTATACTTACATCGCGGGATAGTAGGCGGTGAGTTACCCTCGTAAACTTTGCAGCTGCAATTTCCCTTTTGCAGAACTTGGAGACAGCGTTAAATTTCTGCTTCAATTTGGAAGTTTGTGCGTCCTTGGCGCTTGACGTAACAGTCCAAGCCATGGCCATGTAGGCCATGCTCTTAGCGTTGCAAGCTTCAGCGCAAGACTTACCAAACCAAGGCTGAGAGTGACTACCGACGCGCACTGCAGAGTTTGGAATAAAACATTTCATACCCAACAGTATCGCCTCGGCAATGGATGCTGCGCAGACGTCAGGATTGTCCGAAGAGAAGCTCAATTGCTTCCATGGGAAAGAGGCGTAGAACTCTCGCAATCCGTCCCAATCAGTGGGCCCATAGTGCGAAACACGACGCCTCCCAGGTGGTCGGGGGCGTCTAGCATGGGTAACACTCACCTCAGAACGGATCAATAGATGATCAGATGTTCCCAAGCAGGCATGCGGGACACCCGAATGTCGTCTGGGTGAGACGTCAGCATTAGGTCTCGCAAACCAGGGGTATGACCTTCAAGTACTCCGGTTGGACCATCGACTAATTGTGTGAGGTCATATGCAGCGGCAAAGTCGCGCATAGCTCTCCCTGTATAATCGGTGTATAGTGCTGATCATACCCACTCCATGTGGTGGGCGTTAAAGTCGCCGAGAATCAACCCCTCCGCTGAGGGAAGCTGTTGCAGGATTTCGTCGAGTCCCTTTTGGACGCACCTTAAGAGTCAGTCAGTTTCCGACTCTCCGCTATGAGACCTGTATAGGCACCTATTTCTGCCGCCAAGCAGTAATGGTCACATTACTGTGTTCCGGTTGTGAAGGGTAAGGGTGCTGGTGAAATTACAGGCACATGAGACTTGTCAACTTATGTCTCAGGGTGACGGGCGCAGTGGCAGTGCCCCCAAGATCTTTGTAATTTAAAGCTCTTGGTGGCACTGCAACTGTTATGGGCAGGCGTGTAGCTTACCATCAGGCACACGACTTGTTCGTCCCGTTACTTAATGTCATTAAAAAAAAAAAAAAAAAAAATAAGGGCGCGTAGATATAGGTGTGGCCCCCGTAATCAACACGCGCCCAGAGTAGAGACTGCCAAAACAAATTTCAAAACTATTCTGCCAAATCATTACGGTGACAACTGCGCTCCGACTGGCCAGCCCGAATTCGAATCAACAGACGGGAGTCGTCAATTATTTCACATCAAATCGACCAGTGTAACTTGAACTTTGTTATAATGGACGAAAACCAAAAAAATACATATTTCATATTTAATTACCGATGAAATGTGATTCCGTTTATTTTGTTAATAGATGTTTTGCTGTTTTTCCCATACCACCGAATGGAACAGCCCCAAATAGTTAGAGATATTATCTTTATTACAGTAAATACAGAATATTATTGTAAGTGCGGGGCTATGTTGAGTGTGTGCGTCATTATCAAAAAAAAAGGATTGAATATTACTCCTTCTGTCATTTAAAAGTGTTAAGCATGAATAGTTTAGTTAAAACTCTGAATCACAAATATTTTATGTTCAAAAAGATAAT